GAATCAATAAAGTCTGTTCTAATAACCGAAAGAACGAGATCACGGATACAAGCGGCCGAAATTAGTTTTCTCTGCAGGGTGGCTGGGCTCTCCCTTAGAGATAGGGTGAGAAGCCATCCGGGAGGGGCTCAGAGTAGACCCGGTACTCCTCCACATCGAGAGGAGCCAGTTGAGGTGGCTTGGGTAGCTGGCTAGGATGCCTCCTGAATGCCTCCCTGGTGAGGTATTCTGGGAACTTCCAACCGGAGAAGACCTAAAGGAAGACCCAGGACACGCTGGAGGGAAAGTCTCTCACCTGGCCAGGAAACGCCTTGGGATTCCCCCGGAGGAGCTGGCCCAAGTGGCTGGGGAGAGGGAAGTCTGGGCCTCTGATTAGGCTGCTGCCCCCACGACCTGACTCGGGTTAGGGCAATTGCGATCATATATTACACAATAATAAAATATTCAATATTTAGATAATCATACTTGAATATATATATTTTCACAAAGGACAGTTGAGCCAATCCTCCATCTTCTTCTCACGCATCAATGGATTGTGAAGAGTGCAAAAGGGGCGGGGCTAATGGCCACACTTGAGAATCAGGACACCCTACACAATCACGCCACTAGGTGGGAATGTGCAGTTGAGGGGTGGAAGTGTGGATATTGGGACAGGGCCTAGCTCTCAGCCTTTACACAGGTGGACAGATTGAAGACACCTGAGATGATGATTATAGGACACACCTGAGTCTATTATCCCTGCATCATATTTGCCTTTTCTTGGGCTTCCATCATTTTAGTCCTGTTTAACTTCATTAGATTGTTTATTAAAGCTTTTTTCCGTAGTATTTCTCTTATCCGATGGCACCATCTAGTGGCTGAGAAGCACAATCACACAAAAAGTCTGTTGCTCTGTTTAAGATGGCAATTTCACGTTTCTGTTCATAAATGTGCTTCTGTAGCAACAAACAGCTAATACGTTGATTTACGAGTATTATTCTCATGTCATGTTGTGTTCTCATATATTTATATTTTAGAGACTTAATTGTCCGTGAAAAGTTCATCAACTCTGCATCAGCCGAGGTATTCCTTAAATATGAAGCAAGTAAGCGGTAGTCTAACGCTATTGGTTAGTTCTGGTCGGTGCTCAGTTTCCTGTTGCACGGAGCTCTGCGGGGCAGGGGGCGTGGTTAGCAACAACAACAAAAAAAGACGTATTGCTTACATTATGTCACAGTACATGATAAGATAATCACTTTTACGGATTTCTGACAAATCATACATAATTTCTGAAAGAGGAAACTCCAGAAAGCTGCTTTAAATGAGTTTGTTGAACCACAACCCGAAATGAAGACCTCATTTTAATAAGCTGATTTCAGGGAATATTCAGTCGTCACCATTTCCAGTTCACAGTTATTACCATGACCTTTGTGAGGTTTTGCTTCTTTCAGAGAAGGGTCCCAACGTTTTTACAGTGCATGTGATAAAGTGTTTTAATTTTGTTTCATTGATAAATATTGATGCAGACACTCTAGATAACTAAAAATGAACCCGGACCGGATGGATCTGCAAGTCTGACTTGTGGTCCTGCTTGCATGGCTCTTGGGTGATTAAAGCATGAGGTGGCCGGGGCCGAGCCCGGGGCCTCAGCGACGTTTATGCGCCCCTGACTATGAGTCACAGCTCGGTTAGACGTGTATGATGATGCATTTGCACACCTTTATTGGCTCTTATCGTCCTGCTGAACGCTTCTGTCTACATTGGACTCCAATCCCTGAACAGTGATTCTGCAGAAAGTCCCTGCTCCCATTCCCGGACTGTTACGTGGCACAGCCCATCAGCAGCCAGCGTTCAGCCCGTGGCCGCTCTTTGGATTATCAGCTGCGGCATATTTTCGGGGGGCATGAGTGTTAAACTGATACTTTCTAGTACTTCTTTGACCAGCTGATGGTCACATGGAGGATGTTACAGCTGGATGAGAGAAATAAAGTTTATAACCACCTCCCCCATCAGGACAACGCCTCATCCCCCACGTGCAGCCCGCTCTGCCAGCCTCTGATGCGGGCTTTCTGCCTCCAGCCCCCCGTGGCGGACAGGCAGCGTGTCCCAGACGGTTCCATACCTTCAGTCCGGTTGACGTCCTCCGCAGCAGGCTGCAGTCCCTCCGGCCCGCTGATGGTTTCCAGCTAAAGCTAGAAAAGTAAAGGTTTCACGATCAGATTTGTGCTGCGGTGCGGTGGCCCGTAAGGTCCAAAAAACCGAAGCCAACCAGATGACAACTCAGTTTTCCAAAAAATCTGATACTCAGGACAACACTTCGAACATGTGCGTTTGACACTGGAGCGACTCGGACGAGACCATCTAAGTGAGGGGGGTGGGGGCTCGTGTCCACGTGACGGTGAACAAATGTTCCTTTTCAGATTCCAGACCTTTATTTAATTTCTTTAGCTATTACCTACTACTGGATGCACTGGAGTAAGAGCTAGTGTAGAAGCGTGTTCTAATCAAACACATTACGATCAAAAACAGACACCCCTGAATAAATGGAGACTTGTACATTTCCGTTTCCTCTCAGTGACAGGCTTACCAAAATAAAAGTCCAAACAAGACATAATGTGTAAAGTCTTTTTCCTCATACAGCGTTAATGTTTTTTTCTTTTTGTCACTTATGGTGCAGATCAACAACAAATTTAGATGTCAGGCAAAGATAACACGAGTCACCATAAAGATTTCTAATAACAAATGCATTGATTGAAGGGTAAATGTGTGTGGACAAGTAACTGTCCCTTTGTGAATCATCAATTTACTGTGACTAACCAGTTAATTTAGAAACCACCTGAGTTCAAATTGACAAACCACAACCAGGCATTTCAAGTGTAGACTGGTAGGACCATTAAACAGACCCTGTCTCACAGTAGGTAACAATGTCAAAAATCAAATACTCAAGAAGTGTTGTAAAGAAATCCAAAATCTACCGCAGGTCAGAGGTCATGATTCAGTATTGACCCTGCGTACCTGTGTCACCTGATCATGTGGGTCCACCACATTGGAGGGCAAAAGCCTGTGAACAGTGAGCGACACAAGTAATAAACAAAGTTCAGTTATCAGAAGAAGTAGCACACCGAGGTGAGGGCTCTTAGAGGGCGGTATTTACAAAGTACAGTGCTTATAAACGTAAGCTTACGTTCTCCCTGCTGCTGCTCACCGATGTAAAAAAGTTCCAGATTTGCCAGAATTTACCCCGCTGGATTTATAACATTTCGTGATAAACAGTGTTTCACTTGAAAGAGCAAGTCACCCCATAATCAACTTTTTTTTGGCTGATAAACTGTATAAATGCGTGTCTGGTCGTGCTGGAGACATGTGTAGTCAATAATTTGGCACTTTAGTTCATCTTAGTTAAAATTTAAATATTCTACCTAAAACTGTCGGTGTTGTGCCCTCTTCAGGTAAAAACTCTGCACTGCATTTGAATTTAAATCTGCCATTGCTAACGGCTAAGAAGTATCATATGATGTCACAATGTCATTGTGGGCCTGGTCTGCCAGGCAACAGCATTTGTTTCATTTTTCAAACATGATGTGGGAGTGGTGTAAGATTCTGGTAGGGGTGACTTGCTCTTTAACCAGGAGCTGATTTAAAAAACTAAAGAAAAGTCTGTTTTTGTCGCTGACAAGGTCACCGGGTTCAGATCCTACTCACACACCAGGATGGAACAAAATATCTCTTAACAGTGATGCTCATCATTCTATAAAAAAACATCTTTTTTTAATAATTTCATTAAAAGAGGAATTCAATACAATACAAAAGAAAAATTCAACTGACTCCTCTAACATGTGTTTTCTTCTTTCTATTTTTATTTTTATTTTTTTTACAATAAACAAACATAACACTACCCTAAAAGAAGGGGGGTGGCACAGCGCTCAGTGACCCACAGTAGTCCACAAAGGGAACCCATGTGCATGCAAATTTTTCAGAAGCACCCTTCGATGTCAGGACCAGTTTTTCCAACTTAATTCAATTTTTACTTTAAGTTTATTTATATAGCGCCAAGTCACGACAAGAATCGTCTCAAGGCACTTCACATTGCAAACATTCCAGTACAGGTCAGTTCATTAAGCCAGTCAGTAAAACGTTTCCTATATAAGGTACCCAGCAGGTTGCATTGAGTCACTGACTAGTGTCAAAGTCTTTACAGCAATCCTCATACGAAGCAAGCATGCAGCGACAGTGGAGAGAAAAACTCCCTTTTAGCAGGAAGAAACCTCCAGAGGATCCTGGCTCAGTATAAGCAGCCATCCACCACGAATCACTGGGGATGGAGAAGACAGAGCACACACACACACACACACACACACACACACACACACACACACACACACACACACACACACACACACACACACACACACACACACACACACACAACATATATACCAAGTAGTGTGTCTATGGTTTAATTGTGATTTCTTAGTAAATATTCTATTTGGTGAGAGATAAACTTTATTGTGAATCTATAATTAAACAGGTAAACTAGTAGTAGCACATTCAATGTCAAAGAGAGTAAAATGTTATTATCAGGAGAGGGAGAAAGTTTAAGTGGTTAGCAGCAGTGTGCTAGACGATGGTCCCGTCCATGAGGCCACCACAGCTCAGCAGAACATCATTGTAGCTTCTTCTGGGGAGAAAAACACTTAGAGAGAAAATAAAGTTAACAGCTGAAATAGCAGGAAGTAATACAGTTAAAGAGAAGATAGTAGAAGAAAGTAGTCGAGTGTGAAAAGTGGTCAGTGTATCCTCCAGCAGTCTAAGCCTATAGCAGCATGACTACAGAGATAACTCTGGATAACCTAGCCTTTTAGATGGAGGCATGTTGGAGGCAGGGCAAGGGAGAGCCGTCTTTACCGACTGTACACTCCACCTCCCTCTACTCCCCCACTTGTCCAGATCTAGGCTAACATCAGATTTTAACCATAGGCTCTATCAAATAAAAATGTTTTAAGCCTATTCTTAAAAGTAGACAAGGTGTCTGCCTCATGGAATAAAGCTGGGAGCTGGTTCCACAAGAGAGGAGCCTGATAACTAAAAGATCTGCCTCCCATCCTATTTTTAGATATTCTGGGAACCACCAGTAGACCTGCAGTCTGAGAGCGAAGTGCTCGGTTAGGATCATATGGAACAATCAGGTCACTGATGTATGATGGAGCTTGATTATTAAGAGCTTTATATGTGAGAAGAAGGATCTTAAAATCTATTCTGAATTTAACAGGTAGCCAATGTAGGGAAGCTAAGACAGGAGAGAAATGATCTCTCTTTTTAATTCTCATCAGTTATCTTTGCATCCAGAGAGTCGCAAGCTGACTGCTTTCATCACACAAGACGGGTTGTTCCACTTCACACGTGTTCCATTTGGCCTGGCATCTACGCCATCGGGCATTCCAGAAAATTATGAAAACAGTTCTGAAAGATTTGCCTGGTGTTCAAAACTACTTGGATGACATCATTGTCTATGGAACTTCAAAGGAGACACATGACACACACCTGCAAGCTGTTCTTCAACGTCTCAGAGATGTTGGCTTGCAGATCAACAGTGAGAAAAGTTCTTTCTGCCAGTCCCAAATTACATTCCTGGGACATGTCATCTCGAAGGAGGGCCTGCGGCGAGCCATGATCACCTTACAGCTATTGCTGAGGATTCTGCTCCTACAGACATGGCTGCGCTACGTTCATTTCTCGGATTGACATCCTCGTTCAGCAAATTTATTCCGGACTATGCTACACTGGTGGAGCCCCTGCGACAGCAGCTGAAAACAGACACCAAAGTTGAACTCCAGAGGAACAAGGCTGCACAGGAGAGTTTCATTACCCTGAAGAAGCTCCTTCTAAAAAGTCCTGCACCTGCCGTTTATGATCCAGACCTACCTGCTTTTAGTACCACGGATGCGCTGGACTACAAGCTGGACCTGTGTTGATGCAATTGCATCCAGATCAGGTGGAATGAGTAGTGGCATTTGCTTCTCGGACACTATCCTCCACAGAGAGGAAGTACTCCACTACAGAAAAGGAAGCATTGGCCTGTGTCTGGGCCATAGAGAGGTGGTGCCCGTATGTGTGGGGCCGCAGATTCATGCTTCGTACTGACCACCAAGCTCTGACTACCCTCCTCAGCACCAAAGGAAGGAACAGAGCAGGCATGAGAATCGCATGTTGGTCAGCGAGGTCACTGTGCTTTCAGTATGAAGTAGAGTACCGTCCTGGTGCTCAGAATGTCATGGCAGACTGCCTCTCACGTGTGCCCCTGAAGGAATCAAACGGGGAAATGGATGCAGGGCTGGACCTTCTGCTAGAGATTGCTGAAGTTTCTCCTCTCCTGATGGCAATGCTGCTGGTGGATTCTAAAGCGGAATGTGAGGATTCTATTCAATTCAAGTTTATATATAAAGCGCCAAATCATGACAAGAGTCGTCTCAAGGCACTTCACATAATAAACATTCCAATACAGGTCACTTCATTAAGCCAATCAGAAAACAGTTTCCTAGATAAGGACTGCCCTATTTTGTCTCTTCTTGTCTTAACTTTGTGTCTTCGTGTCTTAACGGTCTTGGGCCTTCTTATCTTTCAGAGCTTCTTATTGGCTATTGATGTTGATTGTGTTCTCATTGTGCCACTTTTTCAACTAACTCAGAAACCAAGAGTCCAATTTTGGACTGACAAACAGACCACAGTTTGTGAGGCTGAAGAACTGCATATCAAACCAGGCGATCAGTAACATTGGAGCACCACAGGGGACTGTACTCTCACCATTCCTTTTCACCCTGTACACCTCAGACTTCCAGTACAAATCAGAGACCTGTCATCTACAGAAATACTCAGATGACTCTGCAGTTGTCAGGAGTATCTATATTTGCTTTTATCAATTTGCTTTGATTTATAAACATTAGTCGCTTTCTAATTGCCATTAGGGATATTTACATTTTTGATACAGTATTTACATTTTTTTCTCAAGAGGATTTCAAGACCCCACACTTACATGTTTGTGATCCCTAGTGGGGTCCCATCCCCAGTATGCAAGGCACTCTAATTGAGTAGTACTCAGAGCTGGGGATGGGACCCCACTTGGGGTCACAAACATGTAAGTGTGGGGTCTTGAAATCCTCTTGAGAAAAAAATGTAAATATCAGAAATGTAAATATCCCTAATGGCAATTAGAAAGCGACTAATATAAGTATAAAACATGTAGGCTACAAGACAGTTTTAAATTCACTCAGGCAAACAAATGAACTGTCCAAAAAAAGATTAAGTAAAGGACCCAAAAACCTCTCTCCTTCTTTCAGTCCCCTGTACATACTGCTGGGCTATTTCACATCTGTTCAAACTTTCCAGCCTCTCCTGTTGATCCAGGTGTTTGTGCAGAAGCTTGCTCAGAATATCTTTTAGGGAGCCATTGTGTGCGTGGTAGAGCAACGGGCTCTAGACACAGTTTGTCACTCATGTCCTCTGCCTCTTTAAAGATCACCTCAA